ATAAAATTACATATCTTATACAAAAAAAAAAAAAATTATTTTTGAAGTTTATGTAATTATATATATTTTTTTATTTTCGGCAGTAGATAAATATAAAATTAATATGTAAGCACAAATATTTTTATATAATTACATATTTTCTAGAGATTTATCATACCTTGACGAGATTATATTCGTATTAAAAATTGGATATCGCTCTTCTTGTTTCAGGCACACGTAGTCTCGGCCTTTGAGCAATCACTGTCCAACATGACCCAAAGATTGCAGCAACTCACAGCAACAGCTGAAAAGAAGGTAAGAATAATTAAAAATATTGATTATTTTTATTAGAAAAATCAATGTTTAATTATTTCTATTGACTGATAGAAACCATTTTTATTCTGCAGAAATTTTCACCGAGTCACTATCACCGAATTTGATTTAAAAAAATTATAGATTTAATTAATTAATCTACACATATTTCTGTTATCAAAAAAGAAAAATAATGCCAAATCAAAATAATATAATTTTCTAGGATTCCGAGCTTCAGGAACTCCGAGAAACGATCGAAAGGCTACGCAAGCAGAGTGCTGAAGCCGGATTAAATAACGGTCCAGCCGCGAGCAATGGTCGCCGTCATACTTTAGGCGACTCCGAATCTGGTACCACCGGCTGCACCGGCAGTAGTAGCAGCAACAATCATCATCAAGGTGTATCGATGGCGAGACAATTGTCCGCGGATAGCGTGACGTCCTTGAACTCGCTGAGTAGTGCCTGCTCGGCCAGCAGCAATCACCACAAGAAGAAGGGCTGGTTGCGCAGCTCCTTCTCCAAGGCTTTCTCGAGATCGCGCAAAAATCGACACGGTTCAGTATCCGATGCCGAAGATTGCAAAGAGAGTATCGGTGGTGATCTGAGCGCTCCCAATAGCCCTAGACTACCAACTGCGTCCAAGCACGAGTCTTCGAGGAGCCAAACCGCAAGGAGCAACGGCCAAAAGTCACCCGATCATGAAAACCCTCTGTCGGGAAGTAAAAGCAGCTCGGCTCTGTATAAGAAGGAGGATGAGGACGTGGATGAGTTGAAAAAGCAACTGAGGGAGAAAGATCTGGTGCTCACGGATATTAGATTGGAAGCGTTATCCTCGGCTCATCAATTGGAATCTTTAAAGGACACGGTTATCAAGATGAGAGTGAGTGGAGTACTTGCAATAAAAGAATTATGCAAATTTCAATATTTTCTAATTCAATAATTGTAAAATTCTCTCAACATCTCTCTAATATTCAAGTAAATATTTTAAAGCGTTAAAAATGTTTGCATCATAAGACCGATAGGCGAGTAAAATTGTTTCTCCATGATTTATCTCTATTAAAATCCATTTTATATTAATTTATTGCTATTTTTAGTACGAGATGCTGAATCTGAAGCAGAACAACGAGCGTCTCCAGCGATTGGTGACTTCGAAGTCGCTCACTTCCTCGCAGTCTTCTCTACCCAGTGATCCAGATCGACGCTTCAGTATGACCGAAGTGGCATCGAGTGTCGCAGCACTGTCGAACGGCGATGCCAGTTCCACGGCCGATCAATTAGAAGATCTCAACGTCCCGGTCGAACACGACGTGGTGCCGTCGAACACCACAACTTCAGAACCGGTTCTCGAACAAGACACCGACGGCAAGAGGATTAACGTGGCCGTCTACCTTGGAAGCGAACGCAATTTCAACTACAATTTAGTTACCGGGAGCGGTTCCGCCGACGGCACCATAGGCGAACCGCCTCATTGCGTAATCGCCAGCGTCTGCATCAGCAACAAGACCAGCTGGGACGCGTTGGATTCTATGGTGAGGCGTTGTTTTAAAGAGTACGTTTCTCGAGTGGATCCTGTTACGAATTTGGGTCTCGGCGTCGAATGCGTCGCTGCGTATCATCTCGGCGAAGCCTCCAGGTACATACTTACTTCGAGACTTTTAGAATGATATAAATTCAAAACTTCACAATCTTTCAATCTCGCAAAAAGTTTCAAAGATAATAATTTTTTAATTGGCGAAATAAAAGAATTATCATTGAACTATCACAAGACTTTGTATTTCAAGAAAGATTATCTCCTCAAAAATAAATATCTTGAAATATATAGTGGATACACACATTTTAAGTTTTATGTTTCTTAAAATGTATCTCTTCTATTTCCATTCACAAGATAATTAAGATAAATTTCTCTTTCCACGTCACACAGATGCACCACCGATTCTCAGCATCCTGAGCTGTTGCCCTGCGGTTACCTGGTTGGTCATGTAAAGTCCATCTATCTAGTGCTGTCGGGCTACTCCTGGCTAGCAGTGGACACCCTGATACCGCGCTCTATCGTCCAGCGTTTGATCTCCCTTCTAACGGAACATCGTAGAGTGATCCTGTGCGGCCCAAGTGGTACGGGAAAAAGTTATTTGGCCGGAAAACTGGCGCACGCCCTAGTGGACACCGATAATGACACGAAGGACGCCGCCGCCGTTGCAACATTCAACGTCGATCACAAGTCCAGCAAGGAATTGCGCCAATATCTCGCGCACATTGCCGAGAGATGTGACTCGAGCGCTGCCGATGAATTGCCCAGAGTGATCATTTTGGAAAATCTTCAACATGCAGCATCTCTGGGCGAGCTCTTTAGTGGTCTCCTAGGAACTAGGCACTCGTCGTGTCCTGCCATCATCGGTACCATGAGTCAGGCTACTTGCAGTACTACCAATTTGCAATTGCATCACAATTTCAGGTATTTTCACCTATTGAGAGATAATCTTTAATTCTAATCTAAAAAGCAAAAAGATTTTGATAATTTTTGATATAAGTATAGATAAAAAACCTAGAATGTAGAAAGAAGCATTTGAAAAATTCTAAAAATTCTTAGTAAGAAATTAAATGTTAAAAATTAGGTAAACTTAATTCATAATTATTTTATTAGTTGATGAAGAGATGAAACGTTGATTTTTGTTTAATGGGAACTGAATTTTTTTTTAATTATGTAATTAAACAGGTGGGTATTATGCGCAAACCACATGGAGCCAGTCAAGGGATTTCTGGGACGTTATTTGAGAAGAAAATTATTAGAGCACGAACTTCGCGAGTGCGCGGGAACGAGGAACGCTGAAATGGCGGCGGTAGTAGAGTGGCTGCCCCGTGTGTGGTTGCATCTCAACAAGTTCCTAGAAACTCACAGCAGCTCCGACGTCACCATAGGTAAAAATAAATTTCTATATATTTCAAAAGTTATAGCTTAAGTTACAAAGTTGTGGGGAATCTTAAAGAGCCCCAATACTTGAAATAAAAATCTTTAACGAATGTTATCATTTTTAATTTCCAATTTCCTTGGTATTGGTAATAAAAAAATTTAGAAGATAATCACATTTACAATAAGCTTCTATTGCTTTTGAAGCTAAAATGTTGCTATTTTTAATTTTATCAATTCCTACACACTAACTTTTTTCTTTTGATTATTTTTTAAAAATATAATAATAATAAATGTTGATAAATATATTTTAGGACCGCGGCTTTTCTTATCGTGCCCGATGGAAGTGGCTGGCTCTCAAGTATGGTTTACCGATTTGTGGAATTATTCGGTTATACCTTACTTGGTGGAGGCGGTCAGGGAAGGTTTGACATTGTACGGAAGACGTGTGAGCGGAAACGGAAATGGCGAACCGACGTGGGAGGATCCAGCGCAGTTCATCACATCCAGCTACCCGTGGCTGTCAACACATGCCGTACACGGCGGCAGCGATGCTCTTCTACGTTTGAGACCTGAGGACGTGGGATACGATGTCGTCTCCAGTGGACATACTTCCGGCGTGGGTGCCTCCAGTGTAAAGAGTCTCGGAAGTACTCACAGTGATACCGAAGGAGATCCTCTGGTTAGTATACGAAATACTGAAATTAGGAAATTTTAAAACACTCAGAATATATATATATATATATAATATAAAATTATTTTCTAAAGATATGGTAGAAT